TGTGTGTGTGTGTGTTGCAGGCAAAAGTACAGTCGCCGTCAAGCACTAGCACGAATCCGTTCCTCAGTTCGCCGACCAATAACGCTAATCAGCCGATCGTGGACTTGTTCGGTGCAACATCAGCCGATGGCCAGGTACGTCTATATATGCCTTTCATTTGACAAGAAACACGATTCTATCTTCTCGAGGGCTAATCAATCGTAACAACAGGCATCCCAAAAGGCGTCGGATGATCTACTGCAGCTGGCGGGCAATCCATTCGCGAACATATTCGGAGGGCAACCGGCCGCAGCAACCGCCGGGCAGCCCGCTCAGATGCAGAACAACATGTGGATGACCAACGGTACTGGTGAGCACGAGCACTTAACAATCGATATTTAGTCTCAGTGATCATCGCTGCTTCTCTCGTCACCGCGCTTGTTTATGATATTTTTCTCCTCTCCCTCCCCCTTTTTTATTTTTTCGTTTTCTTTTCATTTTTCCGTTTTTCTTTTTTCTTTTAGGTTTCGCGGCAACTGCGCCACCAGCAAATAATAACTTTGTTACAGATAATAGTTTTTCCTCCGTATTCGGAAATCAAGATCAGCAATCCAGTAAGTGCTCCATTAAAAGCGAAAAGTAGACACAAAATGGGGGGGGAGGGGGATTATTATTATACGAGCTCATTTACACATACACACACACGAGATTGAGAAATTCCGTGCACTTTTGTTTTCTTTTTCTTGCCGTCTTTACTTGTCTCTCTTCCTCTTTCTATCGTAGAACTTTTGCGGTCATTTTTATGATACTTTTGCATCATACATCTTTTATTTTGTATACTTAGTTCTTGCCTGAGCCAATCACATGTACCGTTTAACGCTATGGGCAAAAATGTACCGGATGAAGCAGCGTTTATAACTGCAAAATTATTTTTTTGCTATCACATATAACAATAGTGATAATTAATCTACTTTATTTCTGCAATTTCTTTTCCTATTGTGTTTATTAAGCGGTAAGCGCTGGTTATTCGATACATTCTCCGAGGCAACTCTTGCCTGCATCGTTGACGCGCGACGTTATAAGGGAATGCAACCGAGCGCTACATTACGTTAACACTGTATTCGAATGTTTCTTTTCTCTCTCTCTCTCTCTCTCTCTCTCTCTCTCTCTTTCTCTCATTCTGGAATAAATATATGCCTGTCGATACTTACATTAATCGGTACTTACTTTGCTTCCTCGAGTGACATTAATCCGAATTTGTTCTTCATTTGTGTTCTTTTACTTGTACAATTGAATCCGTCAAATGTTGAAATGAAATGATACTTCGAAGATAATTGAAATAAAAAAAAAAACGATTTAATTTTGCAAACCATTATCTTCGTGATTCTAGATTTCACTGCCAACCTCTACGAATCAGCGTTCGCGGCAATTCTATGTTTCGGATAGTCGACCCACCCCCTAATTTCAGGCAGAGCGCCAGCGAGTGGATCTATAAGGTCAGTCCTGACAGTAAAAACGTGCGGTCAATGTGAAATTTACCCCGGAGGTCTCTGCCAAATGGGTCACTCCGGTGGAAAGAAGAGAGAGAGAAAAAGAGAGAGAAAGAGAGAGAGAGAAGGGGGGGGGGAGAGCGAAGGTTACCACGACAACGACGGAGATGTCGTGGAGCCATAAAAGTCGAAATGCTGCCCAACACGAGTGAACGTGTTCGAGACGTAGTGGCTCTAAGCGAATTACCTGAGATCCACACGTGGATCTCAAGGTGCACAGCCTTGAAAAGCTACGACGGCCGTGAGATCGATCGTCCGGCCGCACGATGGTTTCTCATGCGATCTTGAAACCAGTGTCAGCAAGAAGTCGCACAAATCACCTGTCGACTTCAAAATAAAAAAACGTCGCGATGTTATTTTATTAGTGATTTGTCTTCAGATGATTTTTACTATTTTATACAAGGTGTTTTATAAGTGATTATATATATAATCTATATCGATTTTAATCAAAATATGTTAACTAATATATACACACTGTGCAACATCGTAGCATTTAATAATTTATTTAATCGTGAATTCGTTGTTAATAATAATTTGTACTTTAAATTAATAATGTGACATAGTATGTTGTGATGTATCGTGATCACTTGCGCTCTAATTTTACATATTTGCTACTATTCAATAATTCACAATTTTATTTGCCAAGTCTATGATATGATAAAGAAAAGTTCTTTTATCAATATTCTTTTTAACGTTATTACTTTATATAATTGTACAATTTTATATTACATCGCAAGTAATATAAAATGAACATTATTGTTATTGTAGAACAGTTCTTTATTTTCATTAATAATAGCTCGATAAAATCAAGTTTATATCAAAACAAATTGTTCTATTGAATGGGTTAATTGTATTTGTTAAATAATTTCAATACCATGTTTTTTTAAATAAAAATTAATAGTTGCTATAAAATCAGTAAAAAACTCTAATTTCAAGTAAAAATCACTAATTTCATAATTAAAAACTTATTATATTCTGCTACTTATGCATGAAGCAGTTATATAAGCGAACCTTGTGGATTTATTTTAAGGAAATTAATTAGTCGGGTGCAACTTCAATATGATACACCCGTTGTTCGTTAATTAATTTTCTGTATATCGAATAATTTTTTCCGTTACTTTGATAAAGCGATGGAAAAGTTATTAATGGTGCAATGTAATTTTGCAATAATTTATTTTGTTGTATCATGAAAGTACGTTGCATCATCCCGATTTTCTTTGATTTTTGCAGCATTAAAAAAATCTTGAAAGCATTCACTTATACTTGCCCCCAGATGTTATTTCTCTGGTCGAGAGAGCCGACTCCGGATCCCAGAGCCGGTCCATGGTTCGCCTGGTTCGCGACGGCTGTTCTGCTGTGGCGTTGCCGACGTCGCATTACCCGGGCGATTTTGGCGATCTCGCCGCTGAGATTGCTGAAGAGACGCGTCGCCGGTCTAGCGATCAATCAGAAGACGATTCTGAAGCAACAGAAGAGACACAGCCTCGCTCAGCTGCACAAGCACAAGGCTGTCGGCATACGGCGAGCGAAGCGATTATGCACCGGCGACGGTCCGCATGTGTCCGGCAGTATGTCCATGTTACAGGGACAGATCCACTACAGAGTCACCAGGAGCGGCAGAATCTACGGGAAATACCCGAACAAGACCGCCATTCCAAACGGCATTCAAGAAAGTCATTGACATCGAGCTTTATCGAGAATTATCAAACTGTCACAGCCACTGTCTTTGTCCCTGTATAAATCTCGTGATCGTCATTGTCGTCGTGTCGTCGACATAATTTCACTCTTTGAAAAGGAAAGAGTCATTCAAATATATGATATACTTATATCCTTCTTCTTGATATAAATTCTTTATTATAAAAAATATGTTGTCCTTTTAAATATTGTTTATATAAAAGAACATATAAAAGAGTTTATAAAAATATGCATAATGACAATTTTTTTTGCACCTTTTAAGAATCGAATAGTTCTGGCAGAATTTACTGAATTCTTTTGTACATATTTTATGGGATCTGCAATATCAAATGTATTTGATTTGATTGTTTGCTATTTTTGTTATTGCATAATGTAATGCAGGAATTATTAGGACGCAAAAATATGTATTTTGCGCGAAATTAAATAATTACAGTTTCCCAATCGTTATTCAAGAGAGAGGCATTTTTCTCGATGCTCGAAGAAAACTTTATGTCCGTTTTTATGTCCTTGACATAATTCGGAATAAAGTACAAGACCTTAGAAATAGGTCATCATGCCACTTAGCATTTTGGATTTCCAGCTGTATTCATCTCTTTGTCGACGAACCACAAATCAATAAGAGCTGGCTGCGTTTAGGAAGCCTAGTGCGTTTATACAGAGCGTTTCAGCTTTTCCAAATCCTTCTTTCAATCACGGATATTTTAACAAGCCTAGAAATATTTTTGTTCTTAATCTCAAAGAATTAATAGTTTGAAATTTCTAGCAATTAAAAATTTACAAAATTTTAACAAAATAATATGTGATGACGTTTATATATTTCTTCTTTTCAGAATTTTTGGAATGAAATATTGCATGTTTTTATCACAATCCAATTTGTATATTAGGAAAAACATATAAATAAAACCAAATTTAAGGTTTACTTAAAAACACTTTCTCTTTGTTTACACTGTCAATTAACTTAAATCTAAAATTTTCTAATGAAAGTGAATGGCTTTCGTCCAATCGGAACGTCTAAAAACGTCTTTCCTTAAGCTGTCGCGCGAGCAGTGTATCACGGAAAAGCGCTCGTTGGCACAGCCCAAGTAACAATGAAATGCTGCAGAACTTTCGTATCAGAGATGTGCCAATTTGTGCGGCACAATGCCCGCGGTTTCAGAATGAGCAAACGTATGGAAACGTGTGTGTCGTCGAGCAGAATGGTACATAACTATGCCAAATTTAATCATTCATTAGCTGGGCTACGTCACTGACATCAAGACTGTGCTCATTACATGAACAACATGTTGTTGTTCTAGACAGCAAGATATTTGTAACATGATTCAATTGTTTTAAATTTTTTCAGACATACTATTTTTTCTTTATTTGTCTATGAAAATAAATTGTATCATTTCCTGATTTTCTAAATTTTAGATAAATATAGAAAATTTTTTTGCATTAATATATAATATATATTAGAAGTACATTGCAAAAATATATTATTTTCTAAATATATTTATCAAATTATCAATATGTCAGAATTTTGTCAAAGCAAAATTCTTTTATTTAATTAAATAACGCCATATCATTTTATATAAAAAATTCTTTATCATTATATTGATTTTTTTCTTTACGCTTTATATTAATAAATCGCGAATTACTGCTTTAAAATATTAAAATGTGAATGCAATGACTGTTTTGATATCTCGGTACACATTGGTGAAAAAAAATTCTTATTATTCATTCGAGTTTAATCAATAAGTGGGACACGTATGAATAGCAGACTGTTTTCGTTTCATAAAAAGTAGTTTATACATTCGAGTGTTCGCAAATTAACAATTCAAATTATACTAAAACGTAATACGTAAGTTTATTGCGAAGATGTCGGCGTTATAACATGCAAAGTTCCAGCTTTTCTATTTTTAAACAACTACTATTACGTGACATCGAATGAAATTCTGATGAACTGTCTAAAGACCCAATTTAAATTTCTATTTGGTATAATTAACGGTGAACGTAGTCTCATGAAAACGTCCAGCGATTTTCTGGCTTTAATCAAAAGGGCGCGAATAAATTACAAGGGGACTTCATCAACGTGTTTAATGACAGGCGATGGAAGGGCTCAACTTGTTCTGAATAGATAAATATTTAAATAAGATTAGCACTTTGTTTACTTGCGAAAAGAACTCCGACTTTTTAATAAAAAATTTTAAAGATCCCAAAATAAATCTTATTAAATAATTGTAGAGAAATGTTTGAAATGTTTTGGTACTTATTATTGTAATAATTCTATAATTCTAATAATAAATTAATTTAGATTTAAATATACATTTCTCCTTGCTCAAACTGATATTCAATTTCTTAATTATAACTATGAATAAGTTATACTACATATAATTATAGCGTTAAATTTTTACTATTAAATAATTGCAATTCAACATAATATCTGAAATTAATAGAATTGTTAATTATATATTTTTGTCATAGAATAAAGGGAATAAAATTTCATAGAATAAAGGGAATAAAATTTCATGTTGATGTTTTAGATTAACTAATCCTGACTGAATTTTGTAACATATATATATATTATTTAGACTATATTTATAAATAGAAGAAGAGGATTTAGTCAATTATAGCTAGCATAAACTGACTGTGATCGATGCGTAAGTCGCACCGATCGTCCAAGTTAACCAACTAACTTATCGATCCTCTGCCCATGTCTACATCATTCTACTTAAAATAGACATACATAATCGTGAAAATACGACATCGAAATCTCTATCACATTAACTGGTACCATAAAACAAAATAAAATGAATTATTTGATAACGACATACATTGCATAATTTGGATAATTTACAATCAAATACATAAATTTTAGATACAATCTGGTTTCCAATTACAATTCCAGTAGCAAGATTTTTAAGGTAAAAAATCCACGGGAAAAAATATACTAGTAAGTCTCACAATCAGACATTTTGTATTATAATTTAATTCCAGAAATCTGATAAATTCATAAATCTTTAAAACGCGGCAGAGCGGAAATGTCAAGGTGGCGAAGTCGCAGAACCCGAGGATCGATAAGGGGGCATTATGAGAGAGAGCATTTGGTCGAGAACAGTTCGGAGAATATCAATTCAATGATCGCACCGACTCTTTCCGCTCGTTTGACAACCCTGAAATCGCCGTGTTCTCGCGCGGCAAGAATGCGAGAGCGGATTCGCTCGTGACGACGACGTTCGCGCGGGGCATCGCGACGGCAGGGTCGCAGCCTCGAATGCGCCACGAAATGCCCGGGTGGGAAAGGGTGGATTGGGGGCGGCGCGCAAGCGTCGTCGCCGTCGTATCGACGCTTCGACGCCCGGGCCGAGGGAGAGAAACGGATTTCTCTGCCAGTAGTGGTAGAAGTCCCGGTCGGGGTCGAGCGAGAGTGCGGATATGTACGCGGGTGCATAGCAGTGTGCAAGAGTTTCTTTCGCGAATGCATCTCGAGTGCATCTCTTGGCAGAGAAAGCGAGAAAATCGTATGAGACGTTGAGACGACGACGTTGTTGTATAGGAAACAACGATTGAGAGCTAACGTTGACGACAGGCGTAGAGGACGACGAATTTATCGGCGTCTCGCGCGACCGTCGCTGCCAATTTGGCCGCAGAGAAGAGTGGCGCGAGAGGGTGGACGAGAGACTGTAAAAGATTGTGAGAGAGAGCGAGAGAGAGAGAGAGGCACCGGCAAGAGCTGCTGGTGCACACAATCAGGATGCGACCGAGGAGGTACGTGTGGCGTCGGTCGAATGTGATCAATGGTAGCAATAAACAGCATAGAATGCGGCGAACGTCCGAAATCTCTAGGATGCTGCCATGGACCACGATGGACCTTTGCTTTGCTCAGTCGTATCTCGAGATATTATAATTTGTGCAGGGTATTGTGTCACTGTATATTCAAATTCTTTGTCCGCCACGCTTCCAATTGATGAATTCGGAAGCCGCGAGTCGAAAAGGCAGGAAAATAGGGAACATTCAAATTTGGCTTCTATGTCTGACGTCCCTTCCAGCAATCGAATCCTTTGTGCTTCGAGCCACGAAAGAGAAACCTTGCGCAATCATATACGCAATCGGTTGGACTTATCTATTTCGTTAATGTTTCACGAAGATGCACACATCTTAGGACGTGTATAAAGTGTGTGAAACGTGTAGAGCTCTTAAAGTTTTCGATATTTTTTAGTTGAGCCTAATTCCATTATACGCTAACTCTCACACATCTTTCTCTTTTGTTCTCCGTTCCTAACGCAGTATCATGCTTCATTTTTCACTGATAATTCTGATTAATCAGCTAATATTAAATTCGATGTAATGCCCAGTAAGAAATGGCTTTCAATTCGACGTCGAATCAACGTCGAATTGACGTCGAAATCACCGTATCGACATCGATTCGACATCGAATTGGCGATCATTTCTCACTGGGTGAAACTTATAATAATGTTACGTAGCTGAATGAAATAATTTTAATTGATACTTTGGGTTAACTAATGTAAAATCCGAAAACTGAAATATTATGCAAAAATATTCTTATATCAGTGTCGCTGCAATCATTTTTTTAAATTACTTTTGGTCCTTTTTGAGTTGTTGCAAAATTGCTGTGCAAAAAGCTGCAGCTGATAAACGCGCACACAGATAACCATTAAATTTTCACGTCGCGAGCCAAGCACGCGGCTGTATCGCCCTGAAAATCTACGATGTGCATTGACTCGCGCGCGTCCGCCGCTCGTGGATCACCTCTTATCACGACACATGCGCATGGTTGGGCAAATATTCGGTTAACTAAACAAAAGGGAGTAGCTTGCTCGGACATGGCTTCGGTTGTTCGTCACCGTGCATTTCTGATATGAGAGCGTTCTCGCTCCGGCGATAATTGAAGAGCCCCGCCGCCGGGAAAAGCGTTGCTCCATGTTTTCTTTTTTGTCAGCCGCAATGAGACCACGCCGTTGATTGCCGTCGGCATATGAGAATAGATAAAAATAGCAGAGGTTCGAACCCGCGAGGCTGTGTTTGACTCAACCCTTTCATCCCTCGTGTAATCTCGCGTGCTATTAAATATTGGGAATTTAATTAAATTAGAGCGAATTAAACTAATGACTGAGTTAGAGATTTCATTGAATTAAATTAACTGTATCAGGTTTGAATTCTTGTTCATCAAGAGAAAGGTCTGAACTTTTAATAGATTATTAGCTGGATAATTTACAGATAATTTATAGATAATTTAGGAATTCTTTCAGAAACTAAATTATCTATAAATTTCTGGATCGGTTCCAAGATTCTCTAGAATTTTCACAAACAAAATGATTAAAAATAATAATTTTTATTCCTTTTACCGTTTATTGGAACATACATTATACATATTGCTTTCTTCCGTTTTAAAGTTTGTGTGTAAAAATGAGTGAAAAATGGCAAAATTAAACGTAAATTATAAAAAAAAATAATTTAAAGTTAAATAGATACAAAATAAATCCTGAAAGAAAGTGAAACTGTTAAAATCTTTCCTAGTTTAAATATTCAATGTCATGATATGTTCGATAAAAAAACTAATGGATATATAATTATATACGGCGATTAAGCATGATAAAATCTTGTTGATAGTATGTCAAAGAACTATATGTGTAAATACAAAGATGAACTATGATTATTGACATAATAGGATTTATATAATTTTGATAAAATGAATCAAGATTGTAATTGTACAATTTTGAAATTAATAAATTAAATGGTAATTTTTATATAGTATTTCGTTAATGTAATTTAATTATAATCTTCTTAATCTTTTGCAATTAGAATAAATATTTAATTCTTATTAAAATGATTTTTTTTAAACAAATTAGTTATCAATGTAATAACATAATGTAAATATTAATTTATTTCTGACATAGGAATCAAATTACCAATAACAAAAATTATCATACAAATAATTGCTATCAATTTAGTATATTGCCGCGTTCTTTATTTATATATATAAAATTATGTATATGTATAATATATATAATTTATATGTATATAATTATATATAAATTTAATTATAATTGCATGAAAGGTTGAACAATAATTTTTATCATTTTATAAAGATAATATTGATATTTTATACAAGGAAATGACGCCGAAATAGTTCAAATCGCCGTCTGACATTTCTCTTGCAATTTTCCGTCTTAAACGGCAAATATTACATATGTAAGTTTGTCTTCAATCATGCCACGCAAGAAATAATATAGGTAGATACACATAACCGTTTTGCCGTAGATTCTGTGTCCTGAAATGACCAAGTGCCCTTTCAACTGCTTTGATCGTTTAATCAATCTAAAGTCGATTTTACCCTAGCAAAAAGGTTATATAAGAGAGGCCATCGTATAAATTTTTTACTTTTATCATTATATTTAGAAGCTTGGTAAATAAATTTAAAATCAAAATTATGTTTAAACAAATTTTACTTATTTTTAATTATGACTAAAACTAAATCAAACAATATTAGTTTTTTAACGTATATTTATTAAGATACCATCTTAAGAAAAATCAATAATATTAGGAAAAAAATAGTTAAATAATATTTATCAGGAATTTTGTTATGATTCAAGAAAAGAACGATATTGTAAAGTAATTTAAAAGCTTAATAAAGCCGTAACCATGTTGATTGACGTATTTTGACGTATTGATGTGTTTTTGATCGACATATTCGAGCTTCCGTTATTCCGTACTATTAAAAAATTTTGATTGTAGTAATAAATCGAAAGTAAAATTACTTTTTTTTACATAACAATACTTGACGATTAAAGACTTACTAAAGACTTACTAAATAAATTAACGATATAAATAATTAATTTTACTTTTTATAGATATTTTATTTTATTTTTTTATAGACATCAACCATATTCTTAATACGGTTAATATAATATGTGCAACATATTACATTCTACTATTCTAAGCTATTTCTTAAATTGTGCAACAAGCGAAATTGTTTTCTCCGCCGCGTTTTTCGCAATCAATATGTTATCGCCAGCGAATGAAAACTGCGGTTATTTTGCATTCTGACAATCTGGTTGATTAACATTTGCGTCATATCTTTTTTACGTTTGATAAAAGAGGAACAAAGTGGGAAAATCGGTGGCGGAGTCATGGGTTAGCGAAAATATCGACGATCAGTTGTGACGATGGTGAAAGCACAGCGAGCGTAATTACTCAAGTCGTAACATATTTAAGGCTTCATTAAGCTGCCTTTTATGTAACAAAATAGAGTTTTCTACAAGGGAATACTGACGCACGCTGAACGCAATTTTTTTGTATTGTGTTCCACTGTAAAAATCAGTTCACATATTTTCAGTGTTTAATGTTCCACTGACAAAACTGGTGCAAAAAAATTACAATGAATTCAGCTTTAACTCCATCGTCTTTAGAGACGGTGGAAGACCAGTGTAAATTGAAATGGAGGTTGTGTTTATACTTTAAGGTATGATATTACGTTAAAATATGATATTCCATTATTTCAACAACGATATTATTTTTAGTTTTAACGTGTCTAATAATTATTGCGTAATGACATTGACGTTTTGACGTTCAGAAAATTTAAAATTTTTGAAAATTAAATTAATAAATCAATAAATCAGAATATTATTGTAAAATAAACAATTTAAAGTTTGTGTGGTTTATTTGTTTTTACTATTAGACTACCGTGACAATACAGAATAACTGGTGTTTCACTTGAACCGCAGTAAATCTGCACTAAGAGCAGCTTTCATCGAAATCTAACACGTATACTATTCTGCGAAACTATCGAAATCTAACACGTATACTGTCCTGCGACAGTTTTCCCATCATTAGAAAACGTTAAAAGCCTGGATCATCGCGTGTCGGCGCTTATAACGTTTTACTTATAATTAAGCAAGCATTATAAACGATAATTGCGACATGTATCGATCTTCGAGTTGATTACGTCGCTTTCACGTGGGCAAACGCCTACGCATCGGTTAGAGTTGCAGCTTGGTTTTGAATTGTTGCTGGTTGCGAGTTGCGAGTCTGCTGAAAGGCCAATCCAATAGAAAGCTCGATGTAATGCCCGAGAAATGTCCGGTCGAAGATTCGAACTCGACGTCGAGTTTATCTCTGAGATTAATACCGAATCACATTTTCGACATTCTTTATACTTTATACTCTTTATAGCAATTGATCAACTGAAAAACAATGGATACTATTATTATTGAAATATTTTTTAATTAGCAATTATATAATTCTATACTCTTCTAAACAATATAAATACTAAAAAAAAATTAAAGAAAAAAATCGTGTAATTATTCAATTAAAAAAATTCTTATTATTCAAACACAAATTTTTAAATCTGTTTAGCAGTAGACCTGGAACAATTCAAATAATTATACAATTTCCAAAGATTTGTGCGAGATACAAAAATAAATGTTAAATAAGTTATGTATTATTAGTATGTTAAATATTACCATTGTATAAAAATATTTATATAGAAGAGTTATATGAATTATTCACATGACAGTATAAATATTTAAATATGTAATACCCAAGTGTAAATTATACTTTTTAAAGATCTATGTATATTCAGAAAACAAAAAAAAATATATCTTATATCTTATTTTTGATACAAAAATTATATTTAATCTTTTATTTCATATAAGCTAAAAGAATTTCATTTTTTCGGACTATATTATAAACATTACAATGCTGCAGAGTCATGCAATTCATTATTATTACATATTATACTCGACAAATGTTAAAAAGTACCTTTATAAAATAATTGCTTTAAACGTGATGTTTTCCAGATAAAAATGCAATAAGCTTATGACTGTTTTATTATAAATACACAATTATATATATATATATCGTTTCTGTTTTATGTCGTCGATGGCGTCACGTGGCAGTGTCACCATGTCATGCATAAAATGTGAAAGATCCACTTTAATTCGGGAAACACAACAGACGGCACGGTGCTACACGATACACCCCTCCATTCACGATCGACTCAGCTAAATTATGAATGGCGGTCGATACTTAGGAAGGGAAACTGTCGTGCGGGTAGTCTGCGGGGTGTTCCCACAAGGGAAGAATTACGTGGCTTTCGCGAGAAAATAAAAAGGAAGGAAAGAGTCTCTGGCGGCGGCGTGTGTATTATCGACACGAACGATCCAGAAACCTGTCCCATACGTTCGTTCTATACCGTTATCCAACCGATCTACCCTTTGGAATGCAATTTTCCTGTGTAACCTCTCCTGTCCCCGTCCACCACCTCTAAAATCGAACTGGACTGACACACTGACCTCAAACTTGAAGATGAACGGCACGCGTGACGGTCTTAATTTAGAAATTTTCATTATTCTTCCGTTCACCTATACACACACATACTTAGAGAAACAGCGCGCAGCGTTTTTCTTAAACATAAGTTAATCAAAGTAATTTTTTAAAATAATTAATAAATTATTTTTTCTGTAAAATCGTTTTTTGAAAGTCAAGATTAAATTAAGTTTTTATTCAAGTGTCAAAATTTAATAATTAATAATATTGCACAATATTTATATTAATAAGTCTGTATATACATTTTATCGACTTTACAATTAGTCAATATTTGTTAGATTATTATACTGATTTTTTTCTATCACGCCAATTTGCGTACGTATAATAAATCAGTTGATTAATTGTTTTCAAATTCGAAAATTGTTTCTGCAAAGGCTGCATATATATATATATTCAATTATATACAATAAATTTACAAGATAAACTTAAAAATAATAATAATTTATAAGATTGATAATTGCAATGAAATGCGCATACAAATTAATTCTTTTAAATTTACAGTGATACGGTTACATCGATTGCATATCAAGATCCTCGAAGACACAACTTCAGTATCAAGGATTCATTTGCCTAAGGACTTCAAATTACTCCTTTCCCTAAGGGTGCGAAGTAGCCTTAGGAACGTACGTGACAAAGAAGACGCAGTAGCCGAAAGTGTAAGAACTACCTAGGAAGGTCCAGTACCTGGCAGCGGAAAGATCGCGAAAAGGGTGAAGGGTACAAGCATCTAAGGGCGGGTGGGGGGGATGCAGCTCGAAAGGGTGGCGGCATGGAGGAGCACTCGTTGGAGGCTCTCATGCAGGCGGGCCTTATCTTCGTGGTCGCCGTCGCCATCATCATCTCGAATCTTCTCATCATCGTCACCTACCTCAACTTCCGCGGTAAGACGGGATTCTTTGCATTCGCAAAAACATTGCATATTTCAAAATTATATTCATACGATCGATTTCAATTGTCATTTATTGTTAGACGATCACGCACTCAACATTCCAGCGTTCTCGTTTCTCCTTGCGTACATTTTCATGCTATATATTTTCTTTTTTGAAAGTCAACAAGCAGGATAACTTTATTATTAACGAAATGAATTATGAACTTCACATCAGTTAATAACCTAGGGCTCACAGAGTTCAAAAAGAATTCATTCGTATATTCAGTCATTATCAATTCTGAGTTCAATTTCAGGTATGAAAAGAATTCATGAATCTTATGTTTCCTCTCTCTACTTTTGATTATTATACTTTAGACGTTATATATTCGAATCAAATTTTAGATTTTCAGAATTCTGGAACTTAATGTTTCAATATTTGAGTATTTTAGAACTTGAGTATTTAAAAATTAATTAGTTATTAATCATACCAATCTATGTCAATAGAAAGCAAAATAAACGTAACAAACTTGTTCCAGTGAACGAATAGATGATAATCACGGATTACATTAAGAATATTTTATTTACAGGTCCCTCCGAGGTGATAAACTACTACTTGCTATCACTCGCCTCGGCAGATCTTCTGTGTGGTGTGTTAGTGGTTCCGCTCTCGGTGTATCCAGCATTGGTTCGAAGATGGGTCTACGGAGACATCGTTTGCCGACTCGTCGGTTACTTGGAAGTTACACTTTGGGCGGTATCAGTATATACCTTCATGTGGATCTCCGTGGATCGCTATCTGGCTATCAGGTAAATTATAATCTAGATATAATAATTATTAATTATAACAGATGAATCATAATTATATCACTTATCCTGACAATAGCAATACATCGCTATTATATTAACATAATATGTTAAAACAAAAATCTTATTATATTTGTTCTATTTTTTTGCTACATATTTTTACTTTTGTTATATTATATATTAAACATCCCTAAAATATACATTATTATTTTTAATTGTAACAGACTTGTATTATAATAAAATGTCACATTTGAGATTTGGCTTCCGCAAGTCGCTTCTCACAGGCGACTTCAATAATATTGGAACTTCTAATTAATTCCTAATTTGTGACTTTCGCAGGAAACCGTTGAGATACGAGACAGTACAGACGAAAACCCGATGTCAGTGCTGGATGGTCTTCACGTGGATCAGCGTGGCGATGATGTGCTGCCCGCCTTTACTCGGCTTCAACAAGCCGATCTTCGACCGCGAGGCCTTTATCTGTATGCTCGATTGGGGCAACATGGCCGCATATACCATCACGCTGTCCATCCTCGTGTTGGGGCCGTCAGTCATCACCATCGTCTACACGTACTTCTACATATTCTCCATGATGAGGCGACTGAAGTCCGGCGTTCTAATCCACGACAAGGAGTACGCTACTGCGTTATCGGAAAATCTGAGCAACCCGAGTCACATCATGTCCTTCGTCCTAGTGATGGCTTTCTGGATATCATGGGCGCCGTATGCCGGATTAAGGATATATGCAGTCGTTAACGGACCTCCTCAGGTAATCATATTTTTGCCAAATATTTTTGCATATTTTTTTTCTAAAAATTAAGATTTGGAAAAGCAATTTGATCTTATTAAGCATAATATTAGCATAATTTACAACATACTTTACACTAATTAACTAATTTAATATAATTGATTTTTGTAAATTTAATAATATTAAATAATATTTTTTATAAATGAATACGCTCGCAAAGTAATAAAAATTAATTCAGAATCAATTAGAAAATCGAAGTTGTCTAATATAGTTTTAAGCGCAATTTAAATTGACAACACCATGTAAACTTATATATGTTTGATGGGCATTTGAAAATTAATCAGCTGATTAATAAAATAGCTATTTCTAATTTTAGTGCAAGAATAATACAATTTACAAATACTTTTGATGAGGGATAAGTATAACAGTTCCTGGTTGTTAGAAAAGTTACTTTCCTGAAAACGTTGGTGTTGAGACGACTGTAATAACACTCACTTGACATTGATATGATTTAAAAATAACTTTGAACTTTGTGAAAAGAGATATTGAAAATGAGACGATTAAAAATGTAGGTCGGCACGTTGTAAAGCAAAGTAGGTTAATAGAGTATGCTTGCTAGTAAAGCTTTAAGAAGTTCGCATGTACGGGTATACTTCGTGTGACATTTCTATGGAGAAGAGAGAAGATACGGAATATGAAATTTAATACACTTAAAATAAAATTTCTTTCTTTCTCGTTTTTTAATTTTCATTAACAAAAATTAATTATATGCATAAAAAAGAATTCATTTTTATTTGCGTTTTTTTTTCAAATGCATAATAATCACTAAATGCATAATAATCACTGGCTTCAAGAACGCTTAACAAAATGCAAAAAATAACAATTAGAATTTCAGCTTCGAATTGTGAGAAAAATTAATTAAAGCATGAGTTTTGATCGTAAATTATGAAAAGAGATCCATTTGTAAATATCTGTTAGTGTCTCTAATTTGGTTCTATTTTACCTCAACCGTAGGTGCCGTTTTTACACTTTGCCGTGGTGTGGCTGGGAGTCACAAACAGCTTTTGGAAAGCGGTTGTGCTCAGCACACTAAGCCCCCAGTTCCGGTTGGCCGTGCGAGTGCTCTGTCTCACCATATGCTGTCGGCACAGGCGACTTCCGCCGGAACTCCTCGGCCTTGACGACGATGACTAACGTCACATCGACTACGTCTACAAGCAGAAGCGCTTACATTGCGTTCTGTTCTATCCGCGACGCGTTCTTAAGAAGTCGCTTTCACCTCTATTCAAGGATCGTCCTCGCATCTTTGGCACCACTCGCAAGACGGTTCCTTAAAACTTCGCGCTCTGACACACACGGGAACGAATAATGATCGCAGTTTATAATTAAATATATCGATATTGGCTCTCAATTTTGTTAAAGTAAAGTAAATGATTTAAATAGAAATGAAAAGAGTACATTTAGTGGCAAATGAACGTTATGAGATATTAAGAAAGATTTGGAAATATAAAAGCAGTTGTAAGCGTGAAAATGAAATTTTTGGACTTTAAAGCGGATAAAAAACATACAGTTCTGAATTTTGTTTTAATTATAAAACGTTAATATTTTTTCAAACACAGAAATTTGTATGTGTATTATCTGTACTAATTGCAATTCATATATTGATGTAAGTGTAAATTTATGTAATATATTATATTTTTTCGAAAGAGAATGTCTTTCTGTGTAAAATTGTATCCGTTTGTGAAAAAAGTTTTACAAAACACTAAGAAGAATCTAAGGTACAAAAGAGCAAATTTCCCAAACTTTGAAGAAAAAATGAAAAGAAAATTTGGAATGTTTTATTGATAACTCGCACTATCTTGCTCATTGCAATATAAATAGCAACAATACCGCAAAAGTAGTTAAATGTTCTTTACTAAAACTATTATATTAAATTAAGTCTCGTATCTCAGATGACATAGACAGCTTAAATATTTACCTAGATTGAACATTATGAAATATTGAATAATCAAAATTACAATTAATATTTAGCTTGTTCAATTTTTGAAATAAAAATCAACATCACGACGGCCCATTTATATGAGGAGAAAAAAAGTAACGCGAAGTAGTGCGAAAAAAAATGCGAGTGGTGCAACGAGCTTTGCGAAAATCTTTTGCCGGCGGAATTCGGCGACTCCGCCGACGCGCGTCCATTTCTCTAAAGTAATCTTCGCTTCGCTCAAACACGCTAAAGTCCGTTAATTAGAACCCCGTTAATCGGGACGACTTTCTGCGCCGTATACGAAGATAAAACGGGGAATATCGTTCTACGGTATTTGAAACTAATCGTCGCCTAGTTTACGTCGTAAGATCACGCTCAATAAATGTCGTAGCAAATTATGAGAGAATCGTGAGTTTACTAATGACTGTCGCGCAAGCAGGTTACGCAGATCCAATCGTAAAATTGAAATCCATTAAACTAAACGACGCTGGAACATGCATATGCGGGGAGAGAAATTTAGTCAATTAACGGAGATGCCTCTATGAATGTGACGCGTCGTCGGCGACGGGTTTTGCGTCGTCGAAGTGTCGTCGTGCCCGTAGAATACCCTCGATAAAACATAAATCGAGGGTGCCGAGCGTGCAAACGTTACGCTTTTTTAATGCGCTTCCTAGCCGCCGGCTTTCTATTATACGCTCTTTCCCTTTCTCGTCGAAAAGCTTACAAAACAAATAATAAATAATAAAAAAAAAAAATCAAGGAATCGTCTGCAATATCGATTAATTCGCTTATCTCTTTTCTTATTGTTAGTATCTTACTTTGATACTAACAAAGTATAGTCATAAATTACAATAAAATTATTAATAAAATGGTATAGTTTATGTGACTACTTGACTTACAGATATTTAAAAATATTAACAAATAAAAATATTAACAACACGTTCGTAACAAAAGGCATAACCGTGAGTTTGCCAACTTATACGAACAAAAAGTTGATAAATTGCGTGCAAGATTTTAAATGTTGCTCGACAATTTTTATGAATCTCGAATAATTTTTTTCCGCTTATCGAGACTCGCTTTGCCGTAATGTGTTAGTGAGAATCGATCAATCAATTATTCGAATGACGGGGGGCTTTTCGACAAGAAAGAAAAGATGTGTCTCTTCAAGATCTAGGCTGGGCTCTCGTTGGCTTTCTTGACGAACTGTATTAACAAAATACCCTCCCCAATGGAAATCAAAATATTGTCGTTTAAACTTAATTCTTAATTTAGATCACGCGCTAGTTTTGCGGGCATTCTAACTCGGCGCCCGACTGTAAGCTTTATTACTAATCTTGTACTAAATGATATTTACGAAATCGGCTAAATAGCAAAACTTTTTTTGCATGCGAGCGTAAACTATTGCGTCCAATTTTCGCACGTCTACGTGAACCATGACAACTCGAGGCGCAATTTCGAATGTGTTTTAGACAACTTACGTACAATCCAACCAAAGTTGAAACTGGGATCGATATTCGAGAGGAAAGCGGATAAAAAGAAGACATATCGGTGATAAGAAAAAACTCGGTTTCGCAAAATACTTCAACGAAAAAGGAAAAACTTTTCGATTGCTTAAACTTACAATTAGACGTAACGCAATCAGTAAGTGTTAATGCAAGACACAGACTACTGGTTTAATTTACTTTAATTTAAACAAATAATTATATATATTTATTATATCAAGACGTATAGAAATATACGCCAAACATTTATTTAGAATTATAGAGATTCTGTTGATATACATTCCTGACAAAAAATGGTAAAAAGTAACGCAGTATTCGATCATTCTTGTAATAAAGAATGTAAATGTAATACTAACACCAAAATCAGAAAAAGACTTTTATATATGTTTATTTAAAATAATTATATTACTCATTAAACTAAACAATAAAACTGAATACGACAGTTAGAAAATAGAAATTTTTGACATTGAGTAAAAAGATTTGTGTCTGTGTTTTATAAGAAATTATTGGGTTCCGACACAAGAAGAATTAGCGAACGTGAACAGATTTGTGGCGCCTATTACGAATAGCACAGCTAGAGTTAGGCGTTAACTGAACTGCCACGTATCGTCTAAAAATGAAAAGCGTACAATGAAATTTGCCAAAGTTTCTTCGCTGTGCTCCTGAATAGTGTATTCGCGTGGATGTGTGGGCGCGCCCTAACGTTTTTTCGACAAATATTAATTCTGTAAATGAGAATCTATATGCAAATCGGTGTCTAGAAAATCTCAGCTTCTATTTTTTACTGTAGACTCTAAATACATTTTATTCAAGTATAACTTTTCTCTAAGAAATTAATCCGATAGAAATGTTTAATTGCTGTTTAATTCGTGACATTTAAAGCGTTGGAAGAGCACAAAAGTGTTTTTCTGTGAATGATGAAAAGTTTATAGTCCGAAATATCTACTCGTTATTTTAAGTAAGAGCTAAAAATATTCGAGCTATAAAAGCAATTTGAACACACATGAAATTATTTTTATCACTTATAAAATCATTTTTCTTTCTATTTATTTCAATTTTTGCGTTTGTATATATATATATATGCAGTTTTAAATTAAAAAAAAAACAGATAAAGAAGAAATAAAAAGAATTCAAAATAAATAATAAGATTTAATTTTTATTTTAACAGAATGATTAACATTTATTCATTTTAATATTGTTCTCAATCTATTTAGTCTTTACATATAAACACAAATGCACACACATAAAATTACAGTTTTTTTAAATGTTATAACGGAATATATTTAAAAATTGATGTCGAGATTTTTTATTTTTCAAATAATTTTATATCGAAAGGAGAAACGATTTGATTAGTCAGCAATTTATTTAATATAACGAGAAGATGTGAAGGATGATTTATGGTATCATGATGTCTTAATTGTACAACGGAATCAAACAAAACTATCAACTATTTTCTAGTTTGAGTGTTAGCTATGTAAATCGGCTAAAAACCCGGCTAAAAAGGTAACGCAGGTTCGAGTACAATTTAAGGAAAGTTTCGGGGAACGTTAAAAAAATTTCAACAGATGTAAATAAGAGTATAAAAATCTTATAAGATATGTCAAGGTTGTCGTATGTTTTCGTATATTAATCGAAAATTGTTATATAAGTTATTGCCAGTACAATGAGTAACGGCGATGTAATAATATAATGAAATACTTCAGCTCAATCGTGAAGACTTAATGCAACCGCATTACTTATTGCGCTGATAATAATATAAATAAAAATGATAAAAGCAAGAATAAATCTGTGTTATTATAACGCTCTTATACGTTTTCCGGTCCCAAAAATATTTCCCTAGAAAGTTTCCACATTTTCGAACTGCGACGAATTTTTGGCCGGACTCGGCTATGACGCGCTAACAGATTTTATTGCGAATATATCTTTGTACGTTTAGAATTGCTCGGTTCTTTCGTCCAGATCCGAATATTTAAGCTTTACTCCTGTACTTTAACATCGCCGTTGCGCAGTGGTTCGAGATAATATAATTACGTGTATCATTGACGGATCTCTGTCTTGACAGATAAAGTATATACTTCGCTTTCTCTTTACTCTTATTCTAATATATATAATTAATTCTAATATCGCAATGAGAACTCTTTTGTAGCTAAAAGTTTCCCAATATTCTTTGAAACATTTTTGAACTTTAAAATACAGCTCAATATATTAATTAGATATTAATAAAATGTCATTAAGAGATATTAGAAAAGACTTGTAATTAATGATTTATATTAAATAATAAATTATATATTTTACTTCAGACATAAAAGACATTGATATCTGTTAGATTTCCAACTTATCTTTAGAGACACTATATTTTTCAAGCTGGAAATTCATAAATTGTACAAAATTTATTATATATTATATAATAATACAATAAGAGTAATATTTATATGAAGAGCTTTCAAGTGACAATTTTTATTTAAAATAAGGCCAATTATTTCACATTGTGATTTTAGAGTCAAATATCTGATTAAATCAATAATTAATTAAAATTGATTACAGCGTCTTTTTCTCGATATCCTTAGCTGTTTCGTGACTCTATCAAAATTTATACCATAGATACACATCTCGCGCCACTCTGCACATGCGGATTCGCCAAAATCGAGCAGTATTAAATTTGTCAGCAATTGCGACAATTCTAAACATGTGAAAGTCGCTCAAAAGGAAAGTGAAGAATGGCTGGGCGTGAGAAAAGTAAGATTGTAGAATTAAACGAAAACAAGAATTGGTCGTCCAAATGGATTTGATTGCTGCGATCGATAGAAATTAAATTTATCGGTGACGAAAAGGAAAGATAAATAGGTCGAGAAAGACGTGAAATGCGAAAGAAGATGAGCGAACAGAATTGGTCCCTGGCAGTTTCCCGGGCGGCCTCCATTATTAAAGATTAATTACATTTTTGTACCTAGCTGCTAGTTTTTTGTACTAGTTTTGTAATGTACTTCATCACGAGCGCGCGCTGTTATTACATATTTTTAAATGATTGTTTGCAAATGGGCCGATTCGACCGATCACGTGAAAACGTTTGCGATCATCTTGATAATCGCGATCGACGAATTTTGCGCAGAATCGAGTTATATGCGCTTAGTGTGGTAACCATAAAAGTCACAGAAATTTAATGCTTGTGTTTAATAGTTTAGCGTTCTCCACAATCGTAAGAAAAATTATAGATATAAAGTAAAAATAAAAGAATATTTTATTCAACAAAATATGTATTAATTATGATTAAAAATACATGCGTTTTTAATTGCAATTTGTAATTTTAATGTAAATGTAACATTTTTATTATACGTAAGGAAAAAAATGAAAAAAATATGTTAATATAAATAATAATAAAATAAAAATTATTTTGTGATTATTTGACATAACATTAATTTTTAAATATTTAATAGACATTACAATTTGTGGAGGACTATAAAATTGTTGAGCCATTTTATTGTGTCAATTTCTTTACACAAGCATAATATATGTATATAAATTTTCATTGGTTGACGAAATGTTTCTGTCTGCAATGTTTGCAGTTATCCCAGTATTACATGCAATTATGATTTTTATTTGAGATACATGCAATGCATATCAGCGATTGAGATTACCACATTTAGTATATGAGATAAAAAGAAATAATGTCTCAAGAAATTATTTATAGATCAGGAATGCTTTGCGATTTCAATCAGCGCAAAATCAACGCATAGTGTAATGCAAGTTGCATTTTGACGACTGTATGAGACGGTTTACAGACACACGCACACACACAATGTCAATTTTTTTTATTATTTAATTATTACATTTGTACAAAGTAATATAATTATGTACAATTATGTGCGCGTGCGGATAGTTGCTGCGTGATTATGTGAATCAACTACTGAATAACTCAAAGTTATCGCCAACTATAAACTGCAGGACAATCTAACAATAAGATCGAATAGTAACGATTAAAAGTTATATAATTTTAAGTTATATAATGAATAATAATTGTTTTATTTCTACAATTTCATTTCAAGGAGAAAATGCATTTCAAATTAATATCTTTATTTATATTATCATACAGTATCTATAATATAGAAAATTACAACAACTGTAAAAAGTTGTAATTTCTGATTGGATTTTTTTATAAATAAAGATAATATAAATGCAACATTCTGTGTGTGAGCGCAATGTATATCGATAAATATTAGACGTATAAATATATGTTTTATACGTGTTATTGTGTTATAAATAAATAAGCTTCAAATTTTATAAGTAAAAATTCTTGTTATTATACAGTTATCGTCTAATCTAACGACTTTACGATGTGGTTTGTAAATCGTTTTATTTGCTCGATAAAATGTTAACTCGTATGTAGGCAATCAAAATAGATTTAATAAGTGACATTTTTTTTAGGACGGACGCACTGTTAAAACGAAATTAGTGTTAATCAATTCCAATAAACATGCAAAATATTATCTTGATATGTCTCTTAAAATTAATATTGATGGAACGATAGAACGATAGTATAACGCGCAACATGCATCCGTCTTAAAGATACTTAATTTGTAATAGAAATGAAGAAAATGCGCACGCAAATCGCCGTGAAAGCAATCCCGATCGGAACGTAATGAGCGTACTAGACATGTCATGACGATCACGTGATACTTTGATGATAATGGTACAATATTAACGATTATTGTCCTAGAAATTAGTCTAGTGAGAGATATAATAATAAACAAAAAGGGCGTAGATGCCGCATATTTCACTCGATATGGCACTCTTATTTCTTTATTATTCCATCTTTGATCCTTTTTTATTTAATTTATTTATGTATTTCCTATAAAATAGAAAATTAAGTAATTACACACATGTTATTTAATTTTCTATTTTTTATATCAATTTCCAAGAAAATTTTAGATAAGTATTATTTAATTCATTTTCTTTATGTTGTAATTGTTATACATAAGAAAAATATTAAATTGATATTTGAAATACTTCTCATAAGCTTCTTTATATTAGTACTTTTATATATTTAAAAGATTTTTTCACATATTATTTCTTATTCTTTTTTAAAGTCATATAAAGTTTTTTACTTTGTTAAACAAAATAAATAACTCATTGTCAATAAAACAATTACTATAATAACTTTTATTATATAAATCTATCTTAATTTTGTTTTACAGACGCGAAATACAACATTTATGTTCAAACGTGTCTGACCTGACACGAACTGGTACTACTTGCTAGTGAGGGAGGGGTTAGTGGAGGGGTTACTATACGTTAGT